ACCAGTCTGCTTTTCAGCTCTGCAGATCTGCCCATCTGGGATATCTTGTGCAAATGGAATCAAATCCATGTTGTAGTATGATCCTTCAGTACTTCATTCCTGTTAATATGGAGATTGTCCATGGATATTTCGTTGTGTGGATTTCCTTTTGTCAGTTGGTACTTAGGCTGTTTCCACTTTGGACTAGTGTGAGTGGTGCTCTGTGAGCATTAGTGTAGAAGTTTTTGTTTGAACACATATTTTCCATTTGTAGGAATCCCTTTGTTCAGAAATGTGGTAATTCAACATTTAAGTTACTGAGGAAATGCCAAATTGTTTTCCATAGAAGCTGCACCAGCGTACGTTCCTACCTTCAAAATGTGGGGTTCCAACTGCTCTTTGTCCTTGAAATACTTGTTATTATCAGTTATATTTAATTGTACCCATCCTAGGAGCATGAAAAGGATATCTCACTGTGATTTTGATTTGCATTTCACTAATGACAAATTTGGAGCATTTTTTCATGTGCTTATTGGCCATTTGTGTATCTTTCAAGAAATGTCTGTTCAAGTCCTTTGCCTTTTAAATGGATTGTTTATTTTTTGTTGGGTTATAAGTGTTCTTTCTATAGTCTAGCTATATGGCACTGCTGGGATATGTGATCTGAAAATTCTGCAATTTTTTTTTCCAATTCTGCAAGTTTTTCTTTTTATTCTGCCAAATGTCCTTTGACACACTAAAATTTTAATTTTCTTTTTTCAGTACTGAGCCCAGGGCTTCCTGAATGTTAGCCAAGCACTCTACCACTGAGCTACATCCCCAGCCTTTTTTTTTAAAGACAGTGTCTCACTAAGTTGCCCAGGCTGGGCTGGCCTGGAACTTACAATCCTCCTGCCTCAGCCTCCTGAGTAGCTAGAACTATAGGTGCCTGGCTTAAAGTTTTAAATTTTGATGAATTTCAATTTATCTGTGTTGTTTTCATTGTTTGTGATATCATCTCTAAGAAACCATGACTAAATCCAAGGTCATGAGTATGTACCCCAATATTTTTCTCTAAAAGCTCTTCCATTTAGGTTTAGATTTTGAATTATTTGTTTGTGTAATGTGTGAGGTTGTGAGCTAAGTGCCCACTCTCATTCTTTTGCAAGTGAATTTCCAGTTGTGCAGTTTATTTTTTAATCATGAGAGGGTATTGGATCTTGTCAGATACTCCCCCTTTACTCGTTGGAATGATCGTGTGGTTTTCCTTCATTCAGTCAACTGATATATTAGTTTCCTAAGGCTTTTGTAACCTTGAAACACAAGCAGAGTGGCTTAAAACAGCAGAAATTTGTTCTTGTTCCACTCTGGAGACCAGAAGTCCAAAGTTAAGGTCTCGGCAGAATTGGTTCCTATAGTAAGCTCCCAGGGAGACTCTTCCCACCTTCTTGCCCTAGCTTCTGGTGCCTGTCAGTAATCCTTGGCATTCCTTGACTTACAGGGACGTCACTCAGTTCTCTGTCTCCACCTTCATGAGACATTTTCTGTACATCCCTGTATTCCTCTGTGTCCGCAGTTCCCTCTCCTTATAAGGACAACAGCAGTGGGAAGGCCCCCTAAACCCATATGACCCCTCTTAACTTGATACATATGTAAAGCACTTTTTCCGGAGGAAGATCACATCCAGAAACAGAGGGTTGGGGCTTGAATATATCCTTTTGGGGAACACAGTTTAATGCAGTACATTTTAAAAATTTGAGTCATGAGGTATATAATTCTTTTAATGTGTCTTTGGACTTAGTGTGCTAGTATTTTATTGAGCATGTTTGTATTTTTATTCACAACACATGTCCGTAAGTCTTCTCTTACTGTCCTATCTCTTTTAGGATATTGCTGATCTCAGAATGAGTTAGGAAGTATTTCTTGTTGAGGAAGAATTTAAAATATATTTGTGTTAATTTTTCTTTAAATGTTTGATAGAATTTACCAGTAAAGTCATCTGGGCCTAGGCTTTTTGTTGTTGTTATTGGGATTTTTTTTTTTTTTTAAATTACTGACTTGATATCTTGTAATAGATTTGTTCAGATTTTCTGTTTCTTTTTGAGGAATTTGGTCATTTCATCTAACACATTGCTGTGCAGTCATTCACAGTATCCTCTGCTAATCTTTCATTGTTGTTTCTATAAGGTTATTAGCAATGTTCCCACTTCCATTTCTGCTTTTATTGAATCTTCTCTCTTTTTTGTCACTTGAGCTAATGGCTTGTCAACTTTGCTGATCTTTTTAAAGAACCAAATTTTGGTTTCATTGATTCTCTCTGTAGTTTTTCTCTCTTTTGTTTATCTCTGCTCTAATCTTTATGGCTTCCTTTTATTGCTTTGATTTAGTTGACTTTTCTTTTTTTAGTTCCTTAAGATAAGGTTAGATTATTGCCTGAGATGTGTGAATGTAGACATTTATAACTACAAATTTCTCCCCAGCATTGCTTTCCGTGCATCCCATATGTTCTGCTTTATTGTGTTTTTGTTTTCATTTGTCTCAAAGTATTTTCTAATTGCCTCTGCGATGTCTTTGTCCCAGTGGCTGTTTAAGAGGACCTTAGGGTACCTTGTAACTCAGAAGGTCAAAGATCAAGAGCTACTTGTCACCTCATGGCTCTAGACCTGCCAAGTGACAGCGTGGGAGAGCCTTTTCCTTCCGTTTCGCGTCTCCGGCCTGGCTGGGGTGGGCTTACTGTGGGTGAGCGTGAGCCACTGGCGGTCACAGGACTGCAGGGCTTCCAGGCGGCGCTGTGCGTCCCTAGCATTCACTGAGGGAGCAAAATCCCCCAGGCCTTTGATGGAAAGAACAGAAACACCCAGAGTTAGCGTATCATATTTATATCATATTTAAACTCAGAAATGAATTGGCCAAATGAATTGAATATAAGGGATTTGTGAGTTTGGGTTTCCAATTTTGAGCCTCACCTGGCAAAATGTTCCTTTTTATCAGTTCCCACAAATGCAAGCAAGCGCCCTGGGTTTGATCTCAGCTTCGGCCTCGCCAGGTCTGTGCGCCTGGAACAGCGCTGACCCCGCTGCTGAGCCCCGTTGATCGCCTGCCGGTGCTGGGCTCCCTTCCAGTGCCTGTGAGAATACGCGTCGCATCCTCACGCAGCCTCACAGTTACCTAAGGACACCTAGTGCGTTCTTACCCTCATTTTCCAGATGAAGAGACTGGGGTGCGGAGTGGGGAGAAGTTCTGCAGGATCCCTCAGCTAACAAGTGGGAGCCCTGGGGTTTGACTCCCCACCGTGTGCCTCAGCCCGTGGTTCAGTCATAAGGCCAGGCAGTCTCAGTCTCTCTATTTATCAGACTGGGGTGGCAGTCATCATACCTCAAGGGTGCTGTGTGGATTAAGTGTTCCGATGAGTCGGAAGCCCCGACCCCACGAAATAAAAATAACCAGCCAGCAGGGCTGCAAATGGGCGGTGCAAGTCCTGTACACAACTGAGCAGAGCTGGAGGGGTGGGGCGGTGACCAGGCCCTAAAACAAGGTCAGGCACTTCTCAGCAGCCACAAGTCCCCACCCTGCGGGGACCACGGAAGGTCTTTGCAAGACTGTGCGTGTTCTCCAGCGCATCCTCTCCGCTGCAGGCAGAGATCCTCTTATTCTGGATGAGACTCCACTAAAGGATTTGTTTGTGTATACTGCCAATAAATAGAATTGGGATTTTCTTTTTTTTTTTTTTTTTCTGAGACAGAGTCTTGCTAGGTAGTTCAGGCTGGCCTTGAATTCACTCTGTAGGCTGACCTTGAACTCATAGCAATGTTCCTGCCTCAGCCTCCTGAGTACTGGAATTACTCTGTGCCACCACGTCCAACCATGAAGTGGAATTTGAGCACTAGTTTATAGCTGTCACTTAACTAGTGTCTGAGAGCCTGCCTTGCTATAACCCTCATAGCACTCTCACTCCTGCGGTTGTTCCCACACCACTGTCCCTGCCCGTATCGGGGCTTCCATTAGTGTAATTCCAGATTCCCAGAATTCTTTCTCTTGGCGCCACCATTTGTAAAAGTTCTTCCCGTGGCTCACATGATACCACACCATGAGCGCGTCTGCCTCATACTCGTTCCCTCCAGCTTCTTGGTGCCTTTGTAGCCTTTTATTCCCCTCTTGTTGGTACTTAATATCCTGGCAGGGTTTTCTCCTGGTCTGCACTTGCTGGAGTGGAGGAAGCTCGCAGCCCCTGCTGCCCCATAGTAACCAAGCTTGGCATTGCGCCCTGTAGGGCTGTGTGTTACTGGGGCTGCAGGGTAGGGAGCGGGGCAGAGGTACTGCTGGGAAGGCCTTGGCTCTTTGGGGGAGTCAGGAACCCAGATCATAACACCAGACAGCTCTATAGGGTCAGGACGCCTGTGATCTGTATTCTAGCCTTGCAGTCACGCATACAGCAGTAATTGGGAAGCTCAGCAACCCACACTATAGTTTTGAGTGATGATGTCCTGTTGTTATAGTCATCGCTGTCCTTTACAACATTGCTGGGCTGTTTGTGGTGCTGGGAATCAGGACCTGTGGTAGGCAAGTATTATGTTTACAGGCATATTCGGTAGGAGGACGTCGGTCAGACTGTACTTGCTGAAGGTAGCTCGCTGCTGGGGGTGGGGTTGGAGAGTGGAAGGCCAGGGTTTGGCTCCATCTATAATGTTTTATTTCCTTAAGAAGAGATTAGGAGCAAAAAATCTGTCAAAATCTGTTCAGTTTGCTTAGTGATTCTATTGGTGCCTGTTTCATAATTTTCTATTTGAAAGGTTCTTAGTCAAAATAAATAAACGTTTCAAATGAAAATAAAGTAAAAGTCAAAAATGGACCCAGGTAACGCTGCCATGCTTCTGGTGAGCTCCCGAAGAGACCACTGGGGAGATGACTCGCTGACCTCCCTGGGTAACGAAGTCTCGGCGGGGCTTCCACGCCGTCAGAACGGGAGCCCTGAAACTCAAGCAGGGGTCTTGCAATCCCAGGCGTGTGGTCACATCCATTTTTTTTTTTTTTTAATATTTCAGGTGTTTGTGGCCAGTCCTCACAAAACGCAGCCTATTGTGGAGATTCTGTTAAAAAATCAACCCAAACTCATTGAGTTTCTCAGCAGTTTCCAAAAGGACAGGACAGATGATGAGCAGTTCGCTGATGAGAAGAACTACTTGATTAAACAGATTCGAGACTTGAAGAAAACAGCCCCATGAAGACGTCCCCGCAGGCTGCCGGCCCGCGTCCTCTCTGCACAGTCTGTACAACGTCGTTTCAAAACGTCGCTGCTCTTGTGGAGTCTGGAGGTGCCTGTTTTTTCTCAATTAATTGTTAAAGGTAGATGGAATATAAGCATTTGAATGGAAAAAATTAACCTAGCATAATAATATATTCATTTTAATCAAGTTTGATTATTTATGTGAAATCAGAGCCGTTGTGTTACATGTTGATAAAAGCAGTTTTAACTTGCAGAGCCGAGCCCTTGGCCACCAAGTTGGAGGAGCGCAAACGCACCTCTGAGACCTCGGGAGACCCCAGGGTGGGCAGTGAGCTTCTAAGTCTTTGCCTATCTGCACTTTGTCAGATTCCGTAAGCACTGAAAGGTCACAGAAGATAAGGTCAGTGTTGTCAGTCTGCGTATCGTCTGACTGTCCTGGTAGCTCCTCACTTCCTTCTGCTCCCTGTGGCGCTTCCCGTCCCATCCCTGACCAGGCACATGCGCCCTGGCTCAGCCAGGGCTGCGGGGGGACAGTAGACCTGCAGGGTGTGACCTGCTCACAGGAGAATTGCAAACACATGGCCCCAGAGAGTCACAGCAACTGCTAAAGGGTCAGTAATGTCAGGATATTTCATTCCTAACCGGTGACACAGGAAGAGTGCTTTGTGAAGGCTGTTTTCAGGGTGGGAATCATTGCACTTGTACAAAGCACGGGTCCAGAGAGTTACAGCAGGGGGCTTGTACCAGTGGTGATAATGCCCATGGCAAGGGAAATTATTTGCTCATGAAAAACTTCTCAAGTGACTAAACAGTTTTTCCCAGGTTGTTTTCCAGTAAACTTTTATTATGTAACTTCGCATCAAAGTCTTCAGTGATAAGGTAAAAAATCCAAACATTTTGGTCCCAAATACTCTCTTGAATACTATAATAATTAAGGAGTTTAACTGTGTTCCTTTAAAAGGCAGGGGATCAAAAAATAAATTTTAAAAAGGTCACAGTTTATATTCAGGTACCAAACATATAAAATATTTGAAGCTATAAGACATTAAAATTGTAATTGCTAGCCGGCGCCTATAATCCCAGCACTCAGGAGGATCATTGCCAGTTTGAGGCCAGCCTGGGCTATGAAGTGAGTTCAAGGCCAGCCTGAACTGCATAGTGAGACCCTGCCTAAAAGAAAAAAAGAAGATACAATTATAATTGCTAACCTATATTGTTATAATTCTGTTACTACACCATGAGTTTTGACTTCCCTTAAAACCCTCAGTTTTTATACTGAGTGCTTTTTCTTTAATCAGCCAGGTATTTCTCTTCCCAGAGAGGGAGAAAGAAACGTGTTCTCCAGGATCAGTCCCCTCTGTAGACCTTGTACCTGCAGAGCTACCTGGTGGGAGTCTCCCCGGCTGGGCTGGGACTCAGATGTTGCTTCCGTGCCCAGCGTGGAGCTCTGCGGCGAGCGGCGTGGACCTCTGCGCCGTCCTGTAGCAGCCCCAGCCAGGGCCAGTGCGGAGGGACAGGAAAGTCCCTAATGCCCCATGCTCTGAGTCACTGAAGCCGGATTATTTTTATAAGAATCCCTGACAGTCCAGAGTCCCTTAGAATTTGACTTTCCTGGGTTTATTTGATTGAGATAGGTGTAAATATTTTTAAATGAAGGTGAAATGATAATGGAAAGTGATGTCTGCTTGCTTGATCCTGTTCCATAGCATCACGGGACACGTGTTTTCCGTTGGAAAGTGAGGCTTCGTTGTACTTCTGTTTTGATAAATATATTACTTCCTCTGGGCTTGAATTAGCCCTTTCTTAGCATTCCTGTATTCTAGCTCCATAGCTATCATGTTTGAAAATTATAGTCTTCAACCCAGTAAATGAAGTAGCTGGGTTTTTGTTGTGATACCAGTTTGTAAATTATTAACTCAAAAGGGGGAGCAGGAAGCTCACAGTCAAAATATGTTTGCACAGAGATCACTGTATATAGTGTGAGAATTGAATTTTGAAAAGGTCATATTTAATAAACTATTCCAAAAGTGCATGTTTAAGACTGACTAAATAAAAAGGTACCACACGGACTCTGGTTGGTTTCATTCCCCTGCATGTTGGTTTTGCGGCTGTGTTCTTGTCAGTACTCCAAACAAGGACGTCCTAGGCCCAAAGGTGGGCCAGCTTTGGTGGGGCACTGGGCACCCCAGAGCCCTGCCACATCTTCCGGCGCCCTCCGTCTATGGCCCTCTCCACTTCCCATGGAGCAAGGGATAAGTGCCTTTGACCAAGTGCCATCCGCCAGGCACTAAATTTCCACACCCTGTTGCCATTCCTGTTGAATCTTAGAAGACATGGAGGTTCCAAGAAGTTGATCCGAGCTCTAGGATGGGACACTAGATAGAAGCCCATGGTGGCCGGAGGCCCCACTCCTCTTTCCCTCCTTCACCCTGGGCTGCAATCTAGGAGCCGTCAGGCTGTTGGGAGTATGTGGTGCTGTCTCCTGCTGCCGCCTGGGAGGCTCCTGGGGTGTCGGGGCCCTGGAATGCAACCAGCAGGGGCTGAGATCACAGTGTTCTTGGACGAGGCTCTTGGCTTAAGTCAGGCATCTGCCCAAAGTCAGGACTGCGCTTGGAGCAGAAGCTCGGCAGCACACACCCCTCGTAACTGTTCTTGACTTCCAGCCTCCTAGGTTCTCATCCTTTGCTGGCTGGAAATTACACAAGACCTGGAACGGACTGTAACATGAAGGGAAATGCAATTCAGAAATCAGTAGAATTGCTTTTTGAAAACTTGAAAGTAAATAATGATTTGAGTTTACTTTATTACAGATTGTGTGTGTGCGTGTGCATGTGTGCGTGACCCTGGGGTCTCACTGCATTGTCTAGGCTGACCTTGAACTTGAGATCCTCTTGCCTCAGACTCCAAGAGTTACAGCTGCTCACATCCACACCCAGCTTATAAAGAGACATTGAAAAATTAACCTTGATCTGCCTAGGAAGACGGAAAAGATTAAAGATGGGATGAGAGGGATGTGGCTTGGTTTGGAAATCGGGAAAATGCCGGTGTGCAGCTGCCGGGGTTGAGGCGAAGCGGAGGGCGTGATCTGCACGGCCCGCGCCGGCCCAGGCTCACAGGCTAGCCGGGCCTCCCCTCGACAGAGGAGGACATCGAGCCTCAGAAAGGGTGAGAAGCCCGCTCCCAACCAAACAGCTGGCAGCACTGCCAGGACTTTGTGCCTGGACTGACCCAAAGGCCAAGCACAGGAAGCCAGGCTGCCAGCCCAGGCCCCTGCCCCGCCCTGCTCTCCAGCCCTTGCTTTCCTCGGCCTGAGCGGAGGGCATCTTGGACGCCCGTGTAAGAGGGAAACTCAGTGGAGAGATTTCCAAAGTCAGGCTTCACGCAGCAGGCTGACGCTGCGCTTGGCCGTGTGGCGTTTGGAAGACCAAACTGGGCCTGTGCTGCCGATCGCCGGTCTCTCCAGCCTTGGGCTCCGCAGCAGCCCAGGCCCCGCCTGTTGCTGGGCACCTTTGTGTTTCCGTGGCTGCTTCAGTGGGAAGTAACGTTAGCTTAGCTTTCCCAGCGTGACCCACTGACTCCCAAGCAGCCGTTCCTCCGCCTCACGCTCCCCCGGCCCAGTGCCGTGGGCCTGCAGGCCGCAGTGTGTGATGAATGCCCCGCACGGCCGCCGCCTCCGCTCCACTCTTCCTCAGAGTGGCGTGGATAAGGGTGTGCAGTTACCCTAAAATAAAGACAAATCACACACACACAGACACACACAAAGTCACAACCCTTTACCGCCAATTTATCATAAAGCAAGGTAATCACCACGCTGTGGGCCATCTTTGTTATTTTAAAACACCGTGACCATAGGGGCCCCTATGTTGGAGTAGACATGAATAATGTGCCTTTTAGCAAAGGTTTGCAAAAATAAGATCACCTAGTTTTAGTTTTTCTGAACTTTAAAGCGTACAATAGTCAACACATCCAGCCACTCGTTCATTCATCCAACATCCACTGAACTCTTTCTCCGTACTGGTGAGGGACGGCTCTGAGGGAGGGTACTGCCGAGTGACACTTAGTGGTTTTGAGGGGAGACCTCCTGTGGTGATGGCAGCTGTTTACTGGCTGGGCGCAGAGCGCACGTCAGCAGGGAAGCCAGGTCTGCCTGGAGAGGGTGGCCAGGAAGGGGGGCCGATCCCACCCTGCCCTCTTGGAGGGTGAGGCCCACCTGCAGAACAGCCCACACTTCGTCCAGAGCGCCTGGCTGCACACAGACGGCAGAAGCTGGGGGTGCAGGGGAGCCGGCACCCTGGCTGCCGGGGACCCAGCAGGTCTGTCACTGACCGGACTGAGCCCGCTCCACCTCATCCCCCACAGACGGTGGTGGTTAATGAGTGGCCCTAACTCACTGCTGTGCAGGAGAGGGGATTCTGGAGCTGTCTTGCCGCTCAGCTGCACTCGCACCCTGGGAGCCCACCCCGTGTCTCAGCACTGGGATTGCTGGCAGGTCCCTTCCCCTCAGGAACCTCGTGCCCTGCTCTTCTTTACGTGAGGTCTGTGCTGAGTCAGTGGAACGACTCAGTCTCAGGCAACTGCCATGGCTTGGCTTAAATCCTAGCTCCAGTACGGGCTGTTTGACCTTGAGAACCACAGAGTTTGCTTTTCTGCCTGGAAATGGGCGAAAGGAAGACCTGCCTCACAGGACGGCTGTGGGACTCAGTTGTGACAGACGCAGCTCAGGGTGCAGTGCCCGCGGCCGCTGCCTCCCCAGAGAGAGAGAGTGCTGCCGCCGTCAGGGGCCCAGGGCACGGACACGGACATGGCAGGGTTAGAAAATGTGTGTGCTCCGTGCGTGGGGCAAGGCGCACATGGAGCGGGCAGAGGGGGAGCCTGTAGGAAGAGCTGCGGATACCTGCCTGTCTGAGCAAAGTCACTGTGGGGACGGGCAGCAACGAGGGAGGACCGGCGGGGACGCACACTATCTGTCACTCGGTTGCTGGCATCACTTGAGCTTACAGGTTTGACATCAGCCGGGCAACATAGATGCATCTCAAATACTGTTTCAGACAGGGTGCCATGAAGACAGAGACAAAAGCCCCGCTGTGCCCAGCCCCACCCTGCCCCTGCCCCAGAGCCCGGCACCAGGGACAGATGATGCTTCTGTCGACCCAGGGCACCAGGAAAGTGGCAAAGCCTAAACCGCAGCCTGTTGTCTCTTCTGGGGGGAAGAACGCCTCTGCCCTTTCTCCGGGAGCTGCGTGTGACATTCACGTGGCCGTGACCTGCCCGCCTGGATGAATGAGACTCTGTGCTTCCCGGAGCGTGTGAGGAGCGGGGAGGGCGCCCACAGCCCAGCCGCGTCTGGCAGCACCAGCCGTGCCCTTCACCTTGACCGGGACCATTTCCAAGCAGAGTGGCTTTATCCAGTTACCGGTTTGCTGTGGCCATCTGATGAGCAGCCAGGGGACTGGCACCCAGATGAGAAGGCCAGGGCGGGGAGGAGGCCAGGGCGGGGAGGAGGCCAGGGCGGGGAGGAGGCCAGGGCGGGGAGGACTCCGGCACCTTCACTGCAGGAAGGGCTCAGAACCTCCCCCGCTGACGAAGCCTCCTCGCTGGCAAGGTCCTGGGGGAGCACTGTCTTGGAGGGTCCCCGCCAGCCTCAAGAGCCTAGTCTGCCAGTGAATGGACCTAAATGAAGCATCTGCAAGAGTCAGCACGGCGAGGTGCTGGGGCTAGCAGTGCGGTTGCCCGTGAGCCCCAAAGGCTGCAGACAACCGTTCAAAGCCCGAGCCCCCTAATCTTTCAGGACTGTGCCGCATGCCTCCTGCTTATGGTGCTCAAATCTAGCTCACAGGAATCTGCCCACACGAGGACAGCAAGGTCTGTGTTTCAGAAGAATAGTTGGACAAGAAGCCACAGAAAGAAACGGACTAGAGTTGCAAAGGGCAATTTTGTTGCAGCAGCTTTTGGGGGTGTCGTCAGCAGCACTTCCATATTGCTGGTTTCTTTGCGTGTCTTCCCTGGCCACACTCCAAACCTGCAGCCCAACTCTGGATAGTAGGTCTGGTTTCCATACCCCACTGTGGATGTTGAGGCGGCAGACATAACCGCCTTCCTCTTCCCTCTCTACCCACACGCTGCTTCTTTGCCTCTCCACCCATCTGCCTTTGCCTTGAACACTTTCATCTCTTTCTTAGAAAACTTCCTCTCCAGCTCTGCACCTTCAGCTGCCCTTTCTCACCCTCTGTCTGCTCTGCCATCTACCCTGGTCATTGTACAGTATCTTTTAAAACCCATCATGTGTCCCCTAACTCCCCTCAGCTTGACCATGGAGACCTGTGGAAGGGACTTTTGCTTAACTCAGGACCTTTTCAGCTGCAAAGGACAGAAACACACAGCTCAAACTGGCTTAAACAAACAATATCTATCTGCCTACCTACCTACCTATCTTTCTATAATTGGGAATTCCAAGTTTCAGGATATATCCACATGGAAAGAAGGATGTCACCCCCAAAACCAACACACTTTTAGCACATGACTCAAGAGAGAGCCAGCTGTGGGGGCACATGCCTGCAATCCCAGCGCATGGGAAACTGAGGCAGGAAGATTGTCACAAGTTTAAGGCCAGCCTGGGCTACATAGCAAGACCCTGTCAAGAGAGAGACAGACAGAGAGACAGAGACAGAGAGAGAGAGGGAGAGGCCTCCTTTCATGTTCATTTATCACCTGACAGGACTGTGATGCAGGCCTCTGCTTGCATCATGTTCATCCCTGGACGATGTTTATTTTCAGCTTGGTCACATGCCCACTCTCGTGGGTGGGGAAGAGGAGAGCATGTTGAAGCATAGAGCAATGGGCAATGGGGTGCTGCAGTTGAGAGCACCCCTGGCGCCGATTTGGAGGTGGACCCTAAGGAAGATATGCCATCCAAGTCTCAGCAGGTCTTTTTTTTTTTTTTCCTGTACTGAGGTCCCAAACCAGGGCTCTTCTACCACCGAGGTGCACCCTACCCCCCTTATCTAAATTTTTGATTTTGAGACAGTGTCTCACAAAGTTGCCCAGGCTAACCTTAAACTTACAGTCCTCC